TAGAAACCTATGATGGGGTAAGAGATCAGTGGTGCTGTGTCACAGAGGCCTGTTTCACTAAAAGGGGACCATGATCTGCTCTATTTTGCGTTGCTTCCATCTTCAGATACAGGTGTTGTAATAATGCTCTCTGTGGGTAACAAACATAAGGAATCTGTGGCATGGTCCTTCTTCAGACGGTGTGAAGTTGCTAGCAAGCTGAAGGTAGAAGAAAACATTTTTGGTTACTGATGCTACCTGGTTGTCTCTGCTCAATGATGAGTCAGACAGAAGCTATATAGCAGTTATACAATAGTATGCCTCAATTTCTCTTCACAGTCCTGCTTCACTGTTACGAATGGCATGAATCACCCTTTTGCATATAACATAACTGACATCATCTCTGGTAATTTTTTCCCATCTTTTTGCACACCTCTTCAGTTTCAAATGCAGGCTTTATATTCCTATTTCACATACTTTCCCACTTTAGGAATGGCATTTTATTGAGTGCCTTTAGATTTTCAGTTGCTTCAGATGTTCCCCTGCCATCTTTATAGTTTGTATGGATTCACACAGTTTCAATAGACAGTGAGAAAAGCCAGTTCTAGAACCTGCCTGACATTAGGTGATTTGAAATATTTTTGATAGTATTCTGGTTTGTATATCTTCTGTTGGTTGGTGTCTCCTAGCTGGGTGCTCCAGACAAGCTCAAGAGGGGGTGGCAGACCAAAGAGAAGAACAGTGAAGATCAGTGAAGCTGCAGGGACCCCAGATCCATTCACCCAGCACATGCCGTAAACATGTTGCTGCATGGTAAAACTCTCATTGTGGCCCCTAAGCTAGCTGGCTGCAGGAGTAGCTGGCATGTAGAAGACTGCAGGCTTTGACAGCCTCTCTTTTCTGCAGCTGTGACTTTCCTGTGGATTTCGTTCAGTGGATTCCCCTTTCACCCTGAAGCATATAGTCTTCAGGAGAGTGGAGGAATGAGGAGGAGGATTGGAGTTAACAGACAGGGTTTTGAGAGGAGAAGAGTCAGCAAAAAAGAATATGGGGGAAGGAAGGAAGGAAAGAAAGGGGGGAAAAGTGAGATAAAATGGACTGAAAGAAGATGAGATGGTTGCTGTGGTGTTAGGACATTGTTCAGTGGGGATAGGGAGGTGACATCCAACAGAGAGCACCAGCAAAACCAGTTGGGAACAACTTGAGTTACCAACTTGTATACATGTGCAAAGGCTTTATTGTAACCAGTATTACTTACTATTCACACCTTGCTTCTTCATGGCAAAATATGATTGCTGCTCTTTCCCCATAATTCAGATGTACACCATGCACGATACCTCAAAAACTTACAAAAAGCATGTCCATGACACACAGGAGTCAAATCAACCTGTCTCCTAGCTCTTCACATTTAACAGATGATACTAGAGATTTTTTTTCCTCTTTGTGTTTCCAATATATCCTGAGTTCTTCGATATAGTCTGGTACAATATGTTGATTATAGAGGCCCTTCTTACATGTATTACTAGTAGCTAATAATCCATCAGTAGAGTACCATAATATCATAGATGTTGCTCTGTCCTTCTGTGACCAAAAGCACCACTATAGTCACACGCTACACACTTGTGACGGAGTGTTGGGCAACAGCAGCTGAGCCACTACAACTCTGATTAATTACTAGAACAGACCTTTTAAGAAGAGCTGTGTCTAATTGAGGCTGAGGAGAACTAAAAGGCCATATGGGAAAGGGGCTTGCAAAAAGATACCTTGCCTTAGGAGCTGAGGGCTTCCTAGGACTGTAGGGGTAAGGCTATATGGTGTGTAACGATGGTGGAAACAAATATTGTTAAGAAAGTGCATGGGGTGTTTTACCAGCAAAAAGGTCTCTGAGCTGTTTGTGGGCTTGAGCAGAGGCAAGAGCGAACTGGTCCTGCCACAACACCATTGTAATAATCTTTGTACAAAAATATGCCTTGTGAGGGTATCGTCTGAGAACTAATAATTCAGTGGTCAATATGGTGATATGTAAAGTTATAAATTCCCCCTGTATGATGATATTGGCAAACGTTCAAAACCAGACAGCCCTGCTTAAGTAAATGTTGTTAGACAGGTCCAAGGAATGTCTGTTTACTTCAATTTACATATAAGTAATAAATGGGGTATTCAAGCTAGCAGGGGGAGGAGATAGCAGGAAACAGAACCATTTGCATTTTAGCAAACACAACCCAACGAAAAGGGTCTGCTTGAATAAACATTACTTTCAAGGGTAACCCTTAGAAAAATCCACTTCAAAGGTTCACTGGACTATAAAAGAAAGAGGAGAACCCCAAGTTATCTCTCTCACCTAAGAAGATAAAGGCACCAGCACTCTTTGAGCCTATGGGAGAGATCCCGACCAAGGAAAGGATCAGTCTCCATCTTGCTGGAAGACTGGGGGTGAAAAAGGCCATCTTAAACAAGGCCTTGAACCAAAATTGATAGATTCTTTTAGGCTCTTATGTGTTTTCACTTTTAATTGCCTG